TTTTGTTAAGTCTGGAATCTGATTTATCAACATGATTGCTTTAGACCAATTTCAATTTCTGCCATGCAATATTTGAAATCAATGTTACAGAAACTGTTACACATTATTAACCAAATGATTTCTGCAAGCACATTACCACAAAGTTCAGTGATCTTACCACTTATACTTGGATTAATAAGGGTGGATATTTAAATCTTGGTTATTTTCATGGTGTAATTTACCATACTGAGTTTTAAATAAGTCCAATAAGCCTTATTGAACCATAAATTGTATTATTTATAAAAGAGCTCATAAAGGATAGTTTAGACTGTTATTTATGATGACATTGCATCTTTTCCATGTTCTTTGTTCCTTTGTTAATTCCCAAGTAGCGCCATTCGTTACATTCAAAGAGGGTATTTCCTATGAAATAGAGTTCTTTCTAAAGTTCCACCATTATAATTCCTACAAAATAGAAGTATATCTATGGATAATCATTAATTTGAAAATTATAAAAAGTATGGCTATTGTTGATATTGTAATTTGTGGAATTTGCTGTCCTTATGCTATTATTCTAGAAATTTGTTACGTAGGAGCAGTTGTCATCTTGTACTCAATTTATGTGCTAATCTATAGAATTATCTATCTTAGAAGTTTAAGACTAAGAAGAAATAAGGTCAGTGAAACTGGTAATATTTCAATGGATCTTAAACTTATCAATAAGAATGTTAAGACAATGACTATGCTATTTGGCGTTACAACGATTTATCTACTCAGTTGGTTACCCCTTGCGCTCGAAATTGTCAGCATACTGCCATCAAATGTGCTCAGTACAAAGGAAGCAATAACAGAGCATTAGCTAATTGTAAACTATTTTTAAAAAGTATTCAAATTATTCAATTGTTATTTTACTCATTTACAGGTGGTGACATCACTCTCTCAGCTTCAATTTTTACAATTCTTAGTGTATTCTGGCAAGTTGCCAATTATATAATAAAAAAGGAATCTGCATCAAAGTTTGTTATTTCTTCCCTTTTCAACATTTCTCTTTTTTTTTTTTGAACTTTGATTAATTGCCTTGAAAAACAGAAAAATCGACTTTGCAGAAAACTATCAATTTTACGCAGGACACTGCATTTCATGGTGTAAAATATATTACAGGTGGAAATAATTTCTTTAGAAAGTAAGGAAAAGATTTCAACATTTGACACAGGTCCAATTGAAGATCATACAATGGGTAGAGGCTATTACATCTATGTTGAAGCTACAAACAGGCAACAAGGGTCTGTAGCGAAATTAATATCACCTTTTTTACAATCAAAGAGTAAACTTACTATGAAATTTTATTACAAGTGAGTCATTAATATTCGTCTTTTAAAATTGGGTTGGACACTTTCCAAATTCACTTTTGAATTATTGTCCATATTAAGCATTTAAATTACACTGTTTTTTGTTTAGTATGTATAGTACTCAACCCGGTATTTTAAATATTAAACAACGCAATACAAGGAACATGGAAAAGACTATTTGGAGTAGAGCAACTCCATCAATTTCGCATGATTGGAGTAGGGCCATAGTAACAATTGAACCTGGAATCTTTCAAGTGATTGTTGAAGGGATTGTTTCCAGTGGAAAATCTTATAGCTACTTGTTGAAATTTTTACGAGAAAGAGAATGGAATAGAATAACAGTACCAGTCTATCCTGGAAAGAGTCGCTTAATATTCAAAATATACTCCAATGCATCAGCATATCAACATCACTATAAAATTTTGCTCAAAGACATCCAACTGCTCAGAGAGAAAATGCAAGATTTCAACAATAGCTATGGATATTTTATCTTAAGAAAAGAATTTAGGAATGAGATTTACTACACTTCTCTCCATGTGAAAAACTTATTGACTTTAATTAAAGAACCCAGCAAATTAACTTTGCCTAAATTTAATGTTACATCACCAACTCGTTTTCAATTTATTTAGCTGAATATATTCTGTAAAATGTGACCATAATAATTTCAATATTATATTTAAATACTACTTCGCAACCAGGTTTTAGCAATAACCATTTAATATATTTTGACTTTTAGACAGTTTCACATCTCATGTATTTTAAAAATATTTAAAAATTTCTATTTTCCATAAAATATCGCATTTTTTAAAAAACAAAAATAGCTACCTTTGAAAATTTAAAACTGAAAGTAAAAATACCAAAACCCATACATAGTGTAAAGATGGCTTCCACATGCTATTGTAAAAATCAAGAAGAGTTTGAATGTGACATTTGTTTAGATTCTTGGATAGGAAATGATCCTAGAATATTTCCTTGTCAACATACCTTTTGTTTCAAATGTGTACAAAAATTACCAGTTGATAATAATCAAATAACCTGTCCTGGTTGCAGAAAAAGGTTTAAAATACCCTTTGCCCAGATTGATCAACTACCAAAAAATCAACTTAATATAATTCATCACAATTTGAACAAAATAGAAGATAATTATATAAATAATTTTGATGAATCTCAAAAGAAAAAGTGTTCAAAGATAAAACAGTATTTGGAAAATACAATTGATAACATTTCTAAACTGAATTAGGACAACAAGTAACATCTGTAATCTTTCCTCAATCTAATTTAAATGAAAAAAATTGTTGGAAAATTGGATATCTCACCAAGAATTTTTCAATGATTACAACTTTGAATCTAGAACAAAATAAAGACATTGGAAATGAGATTATTTATATCTTTGAAGAACTTCCAAATTCTTGCAATACATTGAAAAGTCTCTACTTACAAGGCTGTATTTTGAATGAAAAACAAAGCAGAAATATAGAATTTTTATTAAAGAATTGTTCTAAAATACAAACCTTAGGACTAAGTGAAAATTTTGGAATTGGTGATGAAAACTTTAATACTTGTGAAGCCTTTCAAAAATCTTGCAATACATTGAAAAATCTCTACCTACATAACTGTAATTTGAATAAAAAACAAAGCAAAAATCTAGAAAATTTCTTAAAGAACTGTTTTGAAATAAAAACCTTGGTTACTGTCATATAATATTGGAATTGGTGATGGAAATTTTAATATTTGTGAAGCTTTTCGAAACTTATCAAATACAATACAACTACTTGACTTAAGTTCATGTAATTTGAATGCTGAACAAACCAAAAACCTTGAAAATTTCTTTAAAAAATTGTTTTTAAATAGAAACATCTGAACAAAATGAAAATATTTAAGAATTTCAAAAAGCTTCAAATACAATAAGCAATCTGTTTTTGTAATTTGAATGAAGATTAAATAAAGAAAATTAAGTATCTTGTTATAAATTTTTGAATTTGAAAGAGCTTTCTTTTTAAATTTCTCAAAGTTTTAGTTTGTCTATTCTTCACATTTGATGAAGTTTGCTTTATTGTAATTATATGAATTTCCTCCATGTAATTTGATACTTTGTATTTGTAAAAGACTTGAAAAATCTTCAGATACAGTAAAAAAGCTATTTTTCAATATTGTTACTTTATAATTTTGCACAAAGTTTTAGTTTCTTTCTTTGTGAAATTTGTTGTATTCTGTTTTACTGTAGTTGTAGAAATTTCTGTCCCTTTTTGAAAGGTAATTGTCCTTTCCAATCATTTTTCAACTGACCAAAGTATTCACAATTAGCAAAAATATGAAAAGTTGTTTTATGATACAGTATGGGCAAAAAGTCCCAAACCGCCTTGTAAAATTTTTAGTTTAAGTATTAAGATATACTTAATAACTAATTTGAATTGATGCTAATAATTATTAATATGTAGAAACTTATATCTTGCAGGAAAAATTATTGTTGATTAGAAAGGGAAAAGATTCTTGAAGAATATGTAAGAGAACAGAAGCAATGGCCAATTAAGTGTCTGTAATCTTCATTTAATTCTTTTTATATTTAATATTATATTTTAATATTGATTATTCTTGTTGAAAAATTTATCTCATGCATCAGATTTGTCAGGATCATTGTTAGGTCAAAAGGAATTGTTTGGTGAATATGATAAATGAAAAAAGTATTTCAACAAATTTATCTATCAATGGAGTAAATGGAAAATGGAATGGATTCTATTTTCTACTAGTGTACCCTTATGAACTATAGTTTATAAATATTTTATAAATAATACTTACTATATGGTAGACATATTGAAGTAGATGTTGCCTCTGGAGTAGCTGGTACGAAACTGCAAGAATCAACCCCTTTTTTATAGGCAAAGGATAAGGTGTTACATAACCAAACATGTTGACAACAACAACAAGTGTTTATTTACATAAATATGATGTAACAGTTGACCCTTGAGAGTTACCCTCCACAAAGTTGTTGTTGTTTACATCAGTATTACATAATGTAATAACCCTTGACCTTGTTTGTTGTGAACAATCCTTATATGGGGTTAGACCCTTGTTGTTGACCTCTAAGGCATAAACAACTGATAAGGAATTGTATAAAAGCAGGGTGTAGGTAGTAACAGGCATTCAGTCCTGAATCAACCCTCTTAGTGAACAGGTCACAGAAGCGAAGCTGTCAAAAAGTTGATTCATTTGCATAAAAATATATATATATATGTAAAATGTGAAACTAATCAAATGTCAGGCAGTAAATAATCAGTTTTATAAATATGTGTATTTTCTTATTATTTTATAATATTATCAAGTTCCTTATATGAACTTTTGGGTCCATTATGAAAATTTCAACACTATGAATATCCATCCAACAATAATAAAAAAAGACTTTGCCTCTTTCTGTTGTATATATTTGTTTGTCATTTTGGCATTCTGCAAATTGATGATCCTGAAGGGCAACAACCTGAATATTAATGATATCTAAATTATTACCACTTTTTGAAAAGTGACTTTTTCAGGGTAATTTTTTGTCTTTGAAGCATATCACAATTTGTAAGAATACCCTCAATAGGACCTGTAAACTTCTAAAATTAATAGGGTGATAAGAAAAAATATCTAAAATGCTTACTATAGCTGTTTGGTAAATTGGTGAAAAGTTCACATTCAGTTATTGTCATGGATTTCACAGCAATCAAGTATAGAGTATGATAAAAAGCTAGTGATAATTCTGAACATGTAAACACCATAAACAGTCACTGTCACATTAATTTGTTCAGTACCTTGTGTTATGTCAGTGGCTATGATTTTGTATTCTACTCTTTCAAGACTGAAATCTGAAATATTTTGAATACACTCTAAAAATTATATATACTTATTTGTTTATATATACATACACATCAAACATATGACAGTTAAAAGTGTTGGCTTTAGATAAATATATATTCTATCACCATCAGTCAAGTTCAGATCGAGTTCATTTGGTAATAATACATCATCTTGGAGATTATTTGGAAAAATTACATCTTCCTTTTTTCCGGCTCTTGCAAAAATTTTGGTTTATGGTTAGATTATCATAAAAAAGACTAAATTTATGGGTCATACCATATATGTTATCTTTTTGGAAATTTTGTTTATAATAGATATACATGTTTGAAATTTCCATACTTTCAACACGATTTGACTTCTAACCTCCAAAGATGCTTATGTATTTTGCATGTTTATAACATGGAAATTCAAATATCCTTGTAGAAAAAACCTTCTTATAAGGCCTCGTGGATATTCCTGAATAAGTTGTACCTTCTCCACCTCTATGTGATTTTCTTAGTAGCAAGGTATCAACTCTAATATATCTGAATGATGATCCTTTTGAAAAGATATGTAAAAATGTTATGGTTAGACGGAGAAGGTGAATGTTTTTGGAAAAAACCTTGTTTCTTTGGTAAATCTAATATGACTCTTTTAATTTGGAGGACTTTTCTCAAATTGATTTGTAAAAAGTACTTAGATTCATAGGGTTTGCTAAACTCAACATAAGTTGAAAATAATCTATCACATAAAGTAGAAAGAGAGTTTAGCCTTGATTCATTTGCATAAAAAAGCTCAGTACTTTCTAAAGGTATCAGTTGATCATCTGAAAAGTTTTGAAATTTTTCTGAAAGTAAAAAAAATTATTTTGAAGTTTTAACCTGTCTCTTTTGACAAATTTCCTCTAATTTTAATATCTGTTATAGTCATATAACTATGTTCAGTTTTCTGGAGTCTCACAAACTGTCCCAGACAATTGCACATTTTACAAATATAACTGCTGTCTTCCAGGAGAGTTAGCTGACTAACTTCATCAGTAAAGTGAAAACAGAGATTTTTATTTTCCACTTCAATCATAGAATTGCTAGCATAAACTTTAAAATTTCTCAAATGATCTGTTGTTTATTTAATTGATTCAAAGATTTATAAATCTATCATTTCATTTATTAAAAACTTACTAGAATTCTGGCTGTTACATAAACATATTTCAAAAATTTCATAATCAGCCTGTAGATCAATAAGTAAAAATCCATTACTAGTTATCTCATCATGGGAATAAAGATTGATTGGATTTTCTTCATCAAAAACAGCATATTTAGCCAGATAGCTATCATTAACAGTATACTGTTGATAAACAGGTTTAGATTTGACATTATTTTCAATATCAGTCACAAAACATTGGCATTGTGCAATGAATGTTAAATGTAAAACAATAATTTTTTTTGCAAAATACCATGATTCTTTCTTCATTTCAACTCTTGGTTTAGTTGCCATTTGACAGATGAAGGTAATGTGCCAAATGGTTATTAGCTCATTCATATATTGTATAGTTAGCTAAAAATTGGTTTTTTACTTTTTTTTTCTTTTATACAACATAAGAAATTTAATAATTTTGATAAACTTGTTTAATGATCTCCTTTGATAGCTTTTATTAAAAGGTTCATAAATAATTACTTTTATAAACAGAAGAAGGATAATGAATATAATTCAAAAGTGAATATTATCTATCAAATTTCCAGATGATCAATTCAAACTGTGAAATTGATAATTAATTATTAAAATGATAATATTGTATCTGTATCACTGTTTAATAATTAATGTTTATATCACTATTACACAACATAGATTATCTATAGAGTATATGTGCTTCTTTGTCCAACAAGCAAAATAAAACAATAAGTTTACAGAACTGAATCATGAACTATTTTAAAATTGTGAACTTTGGAAAAGAATATAAAATCTGAACAGTATGAAGCTTTGTTTCCTAACCACTTGATTAAAATTAGATGCGAAGAATACTGATTGCATATTTAATTTGGTAAAATATTGACATTTTATTAACAGGTTGGAAAAAAATTTTAACAAATTTCATTTGAATACAATAGAAAATATCTACAATGAATGATTCTTCATCATCCCTGACCTAATTCTTTTTATTTATCTACTTTTTTTGATTAGTCATAGCCTTTAGGTAAAATCCTCAAAGATATAGATCATTTACTGTCTTGCTCTTAACAACAATTTTTTATTCCAAAATCTTGCTGTCAACTTCTCTTCATTTATTTACTAATTCATGTGGAGGAAATTTGAGGTTCTGTTTTGTGTCACCACTTTGACATGTTTCAAAATAAGTGGTATGGACAAGAATGAAAGTTCTATAAAGACAATACAACAAAGTAGAATGCTTATAAATAGTTAATTAAATTGATTAATTGATGTATTTTCTCTGTCATCATTAAATTTATATTCTTACTGTATATTGATAAAAACTATGTATAACATGTTTAGCAAATCATTAAATGTATACAACATGTTTATTAAACATATTCTCTTTTTACACAAATACTTTTTCAATATTTACTTGATGTTTTAATGTAATTTTTTCATCAGTGGACATTTTCTCTTCCATCAGATTGTTTTATGTTTATGGTTTTTTAAATATCTACATATATTTTTAGTTATGCATGATAAATCACTAGAGCTACTTTTTATAGAGGAAAGGGGGAAATGAATAAGATGACACTTAATAGTTTGATATTCATTCAAAATTTCCTGTCATGAACATAAAACTATATACAACAATTTCCAGAAATAGCCATAATGTAGGAGAAATTTAGGTAACATTTAAAAGGTTTATGGAGAAAACGTCCACAAGAGAAAATGTCCACAGGAGAAAACGTCCACAGAGGAAAATATCCACACGTTTTTGGATGGAACATTTAAATGTGTCAGAGACCCATTTTACCAATTGTTCACAGTTCATGGGTTCATCAAAAAACATGGAGAAATGAAACAAGTTCCATTACTGTTTGCATATATGGGATCGAAGAAAACGACAGCTTATAGGAAATTATTTCAGGTATACATAATTTCAATTTGTGAAATTGATTAATAAAATAAGAATCTTATCAGAATCTTATCAGTGATAGCAGAAGTCGCCCAGAACTAAGGTAGAAGTTGCCCAGAGCTAAGGCAGAAGTCGCCTCAGTGAGTGAGAAAATATCAGTCAAGGTTGTACAAGAAAACACTTGTCAATCTTCAATGTAAATTTTGTCATAGCCAGATTTGAAATGTTCTGCTTTTACCTTTTAATGATATTATTTGCTGTTTTGCTTATTAGAATTTCCAGAACCAAAATGTCCTGCTTGTGGAATTTATTACAAGGAATACAATCTTATTCAATCAGATGTGGATAAATTAAATGTGACATTTTAATTCAATGTTTTATAGAATTTGCAATAAAGTTCAGTCTGATCTGATGTAATAACAACATATCCTGTAATAAATGCCCTGCAAGAAGGACATTACTTTTTGTCAAATATACAATCCACTTGTTTTCTTGATTGTTGGACTTGTCATATTAAAATTGTTACATCTTATGCAACTCTCCAACCTTCGAAATTCAACTATTATTTAGAAGAGGAAAACAATAAAAACATGACCATATTTACAACTTTTCTTTGTCTTCAAATGTTACTTTTGTTTTTGTGAACATTGAAATTTGTCAACTATCAACCTTTAAAAGAGTATATAAATCCTACAAAATTAACAGTTGATAGTTCAGTTTTCTAATCATCAGCTGGTTGTTTAAACTAGCCTGTTTAAAACTAAAAGCTCATTTTACTCAATACATATTCTTTGGATGAAATACTGATGTTTTGTTGATCTCTACTTACTAATTAATTAAAAAGGACTGTGTGTTTATTTGTGAGGATTGATAGACTTCTTTAAAGCTTTCTTTCTGGAAAAAGTTCTATTCATTGGGAAAATCAACTTTTACAAAATATTTTTTTGCAAGCTAACTTTTGCCAAGTGATACTTCAAAAGATCAGTGTTTGAACAGATTATGTAATTTATAAATTGGTGAATTATTTACTATAATTAATGTATTGGCCTGTGAACTTTTGCCTTTTATTTTCTATAAGTATTTTCATATTCTATATCTTTAACATTAATAATGACAAAAAGAAGTCTGAAGTAAAATGCTGTCTATTTTATTGGACTCAGGCAGTTTTTAAATTCCACTCCATTAAACAATTTGATAGTTGGTTTTGTTTCTTCTTTTGTTGTGAACTGTTACTTTGGTTTAATGTATTGTCCTGCTAGTATTTGTGTTGTTTAAGGAGAAACTGGAAGAGCTGAACATTGATTTGTTGTCATATTTATTTCTTAACAAAAAAAGAAAATTTATGGCTGAATAATAGTAAGTCATATGTTCAAGATTTCATAAAAACATTCCATTCAATATTTACGCTAAAGTCACCACACCACAAATTAACAGAACACATTAGACAGTTAGCAGAAGTTTTATCACTAAAATATCTACAAGTTGTGCAATACCATCTTAGAGAAGATCCATGGAGGATTGGTGAAGATTACACAATAACTACATCAAATTTTCTCTTCAAATTTGTGAATGTTACCTAATGCTTTCAAACAGAAAGTTTCAAAATCAATGAAATATATATTTTTCAAAAGAAAACTAGTAAATTATTCTAATTGTGACATTATCACCCAAACACATTAATTAATCTTATAAATATGTGAAGGCTTTGAGCAGTGAAAAACAATACAATTAAATATTAAAAATATGTACACTATTAAATGAGACAAAAAGTACCATCTAAGTCTTGTTTTAACATTTATATATAACATATCTATATAAAAATAAGTGTTTGGCCATTTTCAATCAAGGCTCTGGCTGTTTTCAACCAGTCCCAACATCTTTTTCTATTAAACAGAGAATGTCAGTTTGATTTTTGTAGTCAATTGAAAAAAAAATTGTAACAATAGTTATATGTGAAGTTTGTTCTTTTCTCATCAAAATGAAATAATTTGTGCACATAGATATAATGATTTATCAATACTTAGACTTTAGATATAAGGTACATTAGAAAGACTTCTGTTTTGTAGGAATTATAATGCTGGAACTTTAGAAGGACTTTTGTTTCATGGAGTTAACTTTAGCACTTTAGAAAGAAATGTGTCAAAGTTGCTTTTCTTAACAATTATCAGATGTTGATAACACAGATGTGTTGTGTGGCAACATATCTTGACCATATAGCCTTTGTTTGGTGATTATGTTTCTTGAAATATCATACATTGTCTTTATCTTTTTGTGACAAATATAATCCTTTGATAAATTGAACGCAAGCTTTGGAAAATGTATAAAAGGAAATACATTTTCCCAGTTTGGCAGTTCAGTTCTTTAACTGTTAACCAGTTGTTTAAACTTACTTGTTTAGAGCTGGAAACTTATTTACTCAATACATATTCTTTAATAAAATACTGACATTTTGTTGATTAATTTTGGTTTATGGAGAAAATGTCCACAAGAGAAAACTTCCATAACTTAGGAGAAAACATCAACAGCAATTTTTTATCTCTAATGGTTTAGAGATTAATATTTGAATGATGTACACATTCAGGTAATTATTGTAAACCATACGCATATACTTACCTACAAGTATGCACAGTCTATAGAGTAACTTCAAATTGTTACATTCCATTCACCTGTGGAAAAGAAATATCAAAATAGTATTTAACAATACTCTGCCTGCCTAGTGTACAACACACCCTATTTTTATACTATTTACAGGTAGTTGTAGAATATACTTACAACTAAACTTAAATTCTAGTTTTTATTAATTTGCACATCATATTTAATGATCATTAATTATATCTTACACTATTTCATATATATTTGAAGTGTGTAGTTCATTGTCACTTCCACAAGTATTGTAAGCGCAATACTATTGTAGATAGTCAAGTGAAATTAACCTTACTCTGCCAATGACTTATACTCAAATATTTTACCTTTGACAAACAATTATTATTTATAATTTGTGGTATTTAAAAACAGAATTATGATGACCTCTGTCTATTTTTGTGTGTTGGAACCAATCCAACATTTAGCAAAAATTGTTACATCTTATGCAATTTTCTGACCTATTGACAACAGTTTTCCTTAACAAAGCAAAGTCAACAAATATGGAACCATATTTGAACTTTCCTTTTATCCATAATGATACATTTGTTTTGTGTAGATATTTTTATCTGTGAACTGTTAACTTTTGGAAAAGTATATAAAGCCTATGAATTCATCAGTATGCAGTTCAGTTTTCTAACAGCTAACTTGGTGTTAAAACTTGCTTGTTTAGAACTAGAAACTCATTTACTCAATAAATACTCTTTGAACAAAATAACACTTTTTCTAAACTTCCACCATTATAATTGC